TCTCATTATTGCAAGTTCACACCCGTTTTACTCATAATCATGCCCTTAATTTTGCTTTCCACATTTTTATTTTCTCTAATGACTTTTCTTCTTAAAAGTAATCCTGTTTAACCATTAAATAATTGTCCACTCTACAAACTGAAGTGTTAATCATTCATGAAATTCAATAAAATAAGACAAAGAAGCGACTGGTACGAATCATAGTAGAATTATATTTTATTAAAACAAAAAAAGTAATACACTACTAGCATTCCACTCTTGTACGATATTTCAATGTAAATTGAAACCATATTTTAGGCCTTTTATGGTAGTGCATGATTGTTTAGCAGATGCAAGATGCAATAAACTACCATTCGTTCCAGAAATTGATCAATTGCTGATTGATTCATGAAGTATATGTGGAATGAGGGGGTATTATTATAATGTACAGGGTATTACACTATATGACAATTGCGCTTTTAATTGTTGGCAATACATAAATAATCTTTTTTTTTTTCTACACAGCCAAATAGTTTGTATAACTTTAATGAGATTGTCTATTATATATAGATGAACACTTAATAAAAATTTAAAGTAAATTGTTTGTTGAAAAGTTATGTTTATTATAATCAAAACACAAAAAACATTGGATACTTTTTTTTTTTTTGCTAATGCATTATATGAGCCATGTTTTTTTTTTAAATAATTTAAAATACTTTATAGCATTGTTATTAAATTCGGACTAAACCGATAAATTTGGCCAGTCCAAAAATTGGTCAAGCATAGGATCAATCAAAACCTGGATAAAAACCAGTCAAAATGAAGAAGAAAAAAAAAAATACTTTTTAAACAGAACTTTCAAATAGAACTTTAATATTTATTCAGATACTTTTTATTCTGTAACATTTTTTTGTGACATTAGATCAAATTAATATTTTTCTCTTTAACAACTATAAAATTTCACATATTAAATGTAACAAAACATTTACAAATTATTATTAGAGCAATATTATATCAAGTGTATTAGTTTTAAAAAATACTTAAAATTAAAAATGTATGATGTTTTGGCTTTTATTAATATATAATTTTTAGTATTAATGAAATAATACATTTTAAAAAATATACTTTATCAGTATTTATAAAATAGATACAGATGCAATACCGGAATACTTGCCAGTTGAATAATAAAATTGAGATGAATGTTGTTCTATTTTGAAACCTCACGCCAACTGCAAAGGTGAGCCTGCTTAAATTCTGCCGTACTATGTATCATCCTTCCTTCTCATTTTTTTGCTTTTACACTCATGATGTGAAAGGAAAAAGCTCATTATTCACATATGTTACATATACTTTATGTGTGTTTTTCTTGTTTAACTTGTCTTATAATTACTTTTAAAAAAAATAAAAAAGTAAGTATATTTTTTAAAAAACAATCTATCCTAAACGTGTACTAAATTTGTACATTAGTGGTCTTGTGCTAAACAAGACTGAAAGTGTCATTTTCTGTCCATCATTCTTATTATAAAAGACGTTTTTAATGTGTAAAGATCATAAAAGGAATTAGCTTCTAACAAAGAATTAAAAAAGAAAGCATAAAAATTGCAATTAATAACAGGTATATTGATTTCACTCTGAAATGTTGGGGGATCCAAATAGAAAAGTACAATGGCGCCCAAATAAAGAAAAGTAAATAAAAATAGAAAAAAATAATTGTGGTACAAGATTCATGATGCTGTCCTTGCCTTTTATCAAGGAAAGTTAATGTAGGGGGAAACTTTGTCAAGGAAGAATGTGAATTTTGCAACATTGTTTTAAAGTTTCTTTCTATATCATAACGATGATAATGTATAGTGGTGGCCACCCTACTGTCATACGGACGTGATTTGGACCTACCTGTCTCCAAGATGCCTCTTCTCCTTTGCCCCCACTCACCATATCAAATAATTCCATTTTTCTTTTCTATTTAATTATACTTGTCACTTCCTATTTATTCCAATGCTACACATTAGTGGATTTCAAATACTATTTTCTTTTCCTTTTCACTAACTTCATAATTGATATGATATTAGAATAAATTTGATGATTGAGAGTGTTCTCATTTTGCCTTTCTGATGATTGATGAGTGTTTTGGCCAATCAACATTATGACTATAATGACTTATTTTCTGATATACCCTCTTCCATTTATAAACGTGAACATGTCTTGATTATGTAAATTTTTTGGATCCCTGTAACGTAAAGGAGTATGATATAATCGTACTGGGTTGATATAAATCATACTTGACAGAATACATGTTATTCTTTTTATATACTATAAAATGTATATGCATATTACATCGTAATTAGCCAGATTACTTGATCCCGAATCATATAAAATTTTCTCCAAATTATGGGTATTGAGTAGGGATGAGTACAAACACGTACCATTAGTTTTAACTAGTGTTAGCGATAGCCACTTGGGTTCAATATTAATGGCTCAACCTTAGTCCTTAATAGTGAGAGATTCTCTCTCTCTCTCTCATACATAGTATAAACTTTTAAGAGTTAAAAATAAATAATTAAAAGTAATAAAAAATTATTTTTATTTAAAAATTATTTATCGCCTTAGAAACAAAAATATATAATAAATACTGTATTTTTTAATAATTTAAACACAAGTTTAAAAATTAAGGTTAATAAAATAAATTTTTATTATGAGAGAAATTAATATGTAATTTCATTTCTCCATTAATACCACATTACCACCGAAGAAACGTATTGAAAAGAAAAAATGTGGTGCATGTTTTATTGGGTTTGAAATACTTAAAAAACTAATTGATTATATCAAAGCTTTTTTCTTTATGTACATTGAAATGCAATTTAGATAATTGTTTTTCATTCAGTTATTTGAGATTAAAAATGAAGTGACACCTCACAATATAAAATTATATTTACAATAACAACAATAATAATAAGCCTAGATCGAGGAGCAAATACTTTAAATTCTTAAGGATAAATAGACATGTAACATCATAAACAGTTTAATTGTTACTTATACTCATATAACATTGCTTTCTTCGTCCTATTCCAAGGATTTTTAATATGATTGTATCGCTTATTTTTTTCTCTTCACTTTTCCCATGCCTTTGTTGAAATTCAAATCCAGGCCTATGATTTCCCTAGTGAATGTAATCGTTCGTCGTTATCATGCTTTGCAAGAGAAAACAGTAACACTTTCCCCTTTATCCGCTTTCTTTGCAGGCATATGGTCCACAATTATGTTAATTGAGATTGACTTTGAAGAAAATCTTTTGCCTACTTACCTCTATATTATAATACAGTAGCCTAGCATAAAAGTATGTAGCCGTAACTTGTGTAGTAATTAATGGTGGCAATGGTAACAAAGAGGGAACAATTAAAGGACAAAATATGCTTTCTTAAGTAAGCTTTTTGACACTAACTGATTTTTCTAAACACGATTTGTAAAATGTTGTACCTAGCTAATGTGATGTATTATCTATGATTTTAAAACCACACAGAAAGAAGGTATATCTTAAAATAATGCCACTTGTTAGAATGCAAATGGTTTGTCTCACTGCTTTGCACAGCCATGTCACTGTGATATTCTTCTTCTTTATTTTTATACGTTACAGACCCTTTTATTCACCCCTTTCAAGAGATTTGGCTTTCCCAATGGCAACATTGCATAGTATCCAATAAGCTGTTACCTATTAGAGTTATATGTTCAGTGTTGTCTTCAAGAATAAAGATAAGCCTCGGCTCCTAGCATGAAGGTGAGGGTGGAAATCAAGCACTGTTTTGATACTTTGATTACTCAATCATGCATATGCCCTCTCAACAAATAAAGATTAGGTAGGTAGCAAATACATCTAAGTACCTTATAATTGACATTCTATATTATATATAAACTTTGAAGTTTGAATATTAGGATTAATAAAATTAGAAGTTACATATAGGAATTAAGGTAAGTTCAAAATACATCCAAGTACCATATAATTGACATTGTAACTTGGTGATGGAATCAGCATGGTTCTATTATATGATGTACTTTAACTGAGATATAAACCGAGTATTACTAATTATCTTTCTGATTTAACATACATCAAATCCCTTTTATGCATACTTGCTAAAACTTCCCTTTCATGATTGCATCATGCTGGATTCATGAATGCAAGAAACGCAGACCAGTGAGTAACGTGCTGTAGTTAATTAGAAAATTTTGAAGATGTAGGTGAAAGTGAGGGAAAAAATCTTCTTCAGTTGTTATTAGATGATTCAATAGAAGAAAAAATGACACATCAATTTTATAAGCTTCACGGTATATGCAAGACTCACAATGTAAATGTCTCTTTTTTATTAAACTATTTAGTAACTAAAGATTTTCTTAACCCAAAAGCGAGCGCCATGAATGAGACAACAGATAAGGGGGAAGGTAAAAAAAGGAACAGCTCCCAGAAATCCAGAACTTCTGCCTTCTACAGAAATATATTAGGTATATTTATTTAACAAAATATATTGAAATATCTTCTGGAAAAAGGCAAGTCTAATGCCCTATATAAAATAAGCCTACATTGAGGGAATCCTAGGATTAGGTATTGTGATGATCTTTGCAAGACAACTTTTTTACCTTCCCAAACTCAAATCGATGATAATTTTCAGAAGAGGGTATAGGGCATTCCAAATTGATTTCCTATCAGGGCCATTATCCTTCCCCCTTGTATGACCAACAAAACCTTTGCTAGCTACTGACATCAATCCACTATCCCTTTTTTGCTAGGTACTGACAGCAAATAAATGTTACAGATTGAGTGTTTCACAAAACTGAAAACATAGAAGCCCTCTATCATTATTTTTCAAAACAACTGAACTTTTTTACTTTATTATAAATGAAAAATGCATTTTTCTATATAAATTTCATTTGGGGTTACTGTTTTCTTTTTTCACCAATACAAAACCAGAACTTCAGAAAATAAAGATTTGATTTTTGACGATGAGAATTGATGGCGCCCAATGCATTATGCTCCCAAACACAAACAGTGTGTTAAACTGTGCCCCACATGCAATGAGACAGGAGTTTTATGCAGCTTTCATTCACTGATCACTGCCCATTTCTCGTGATGCATACATGGGAAAGAATTTCTTTCCCAATCTTTCTCACTCACACAAATCTCTCTCTCTCTCTCCTCTCTGAGACACAAGAAAACACCTGGTCCGTGAACTCTGTACCCAAAAGCATTCAACTCTTCTTCTCTCATTTCATCACTTCTGTTCACTGAAGAGTGAAGACGTTTTCCTCTGCATTGCTGCAGTCACTTTCACTGTTTGCTTCCGCAGTTCTCTCTTCTGCTACAAAGTACAAAGTATGGCATGTTTCATGTGCAACCCACGGTTCATAATGCATCATCATCCTTTTGTTTCATTTATCCTTTTTGTTTTCTTCCTGTGAAAATGGAAGTTTTTTTTTTCCTCTTCTTTTCTTTTTCCATTTACTTTCTTTGTCTTTAGAACTGAGGAGTAGCACATAACTTATACATTTTAGACAAATCTCAAATGGGTTTTCTTCATAATATTGATATGTGATCTGGGGTGGTTGCATTTCAGGGCCATTCCTAGTGAAAGATTCTAAATATTTTCCCTTGAAATTCTGCATCTTGGTTGAAGCAAGTGATGCAAGAAGCAGCAGCATCTCTCTGAGGAAGAAATTCAAGGTGATACTTGGTCCCAAATCCTCACATTTGCAAGATAAAGAAGAGGGGAAAGTTGAACTTTTTAGTAAAAAGAACAAGGAGCAAAAGGTATTGATGCTGTTGGACAGTGTTTGATAACAGTTTTTGCTCCTGGAGAAGAAAACTGTTGAGAGTGGAGTGGAGGCACTAACACTTCACTTCAGCAGAGCAGAGAAGAGTGTACACTGATGGAAATTCTATGCTTGTTGCATATTCTGCTAGCTTGGTTTTTGTCAAGTTCTGAGCTTGTGGGCGCTGAGCTACAAGACCAAGCTATATTACAAGCCATCAATGAAGAGCTTAAAGTTCCTGGATGGGGGGATAGCAACAATTCAGACTACTGCACTTGGCAAGGAGTGAGCTGTGGTAACCACACAATGGTGGAGAGCCTTGATCTGTCTCACAGGAATCTTCGAGGTAATGTGACTTTAATGTCTGAGCTCAAAGCTTTGAAGCGGCTTGATCTTTCTAATAATAACTTTGATGGATTGATTCCTTCTGGTTTTGGAATTTTATCTGATCTGGAAGTTCTAGATTTGTCTTCAAATAAGTTTCAAGGTTCAATTCCACCTGAATTGGGTGGTCTCAGAAGCCTCAAATCATTAAACCTTTCCAATAATTTGCTTGTGGGAGAAATACCTATGGAACTTCATGGCCTAGAGAAATTGCAGGACTTTCAAATTTCTAGTAATCATTTGAGTGGTTATTTACCTTCTTGGGTTGGCAATTTAACCAATCTGAGACTTTTCACTGCTTATGAGAATCGTTTAGATGGCAAGATTCCAGATAATCTAGGCTTGATTCCTGAGCTTCAAATACTTAACCTGCACTCTAACCAGCTTGAAGGTCCAATACCAGCAAGCATTTTTACTCCAGGGAAGCTAGAAGTTCTGGTCCTCACCCAGAATAATTTTAGTGGTGATCTTCCTGAGGAAATTGGGAATTGCAAAGCCCTTTCCAGCATTCGTATTGGAAACAACCATCTAGTCGGCAGTATTCCTAAGACCATTGGAAATCTTAGTAGCCTAACGTACTTTGAAGCTGATAATAACAATCTTTCTGGTGAGTTAGTGTCTGAATTTGCTCAGTGTTCTAATCTCACCCTACTGAATTTAGCTTCAAATGGATTTACTGGAACAATTCCACAAGAATTTGGACAACTTATGAACCTTCAGGAATTAATTCTTTCTGGAAATAGCTTATTTGGCGATATTCCAATATCAATTCTGAGTTGCAAAAGTCTTAACAAGCTTGATATTAGCAACAACAGATTCAATGGGACTATACCGAATGAAATCTGCAATATCTCTCGGTTGCAGTACTTGCTATTGGATCAGAATTCCATACGAGGAGAGATCCCTCATGAAATTGGAAATTGTGCAAAACTTCTTGAATTACAACTGGGCAGTAACTATTTAACTGGAATTATTCCTCCAGAGATTGGTCACATTAGGAACTTACAGATAGCTTTAAATTTGAGCTTCAATCATCTTCATGGACCACTGCCCCCGGAATTAGGAAAACTGGACAAACTTGTTTCTCTGGATGTATCAAACAATCGGCTATCTGGTAATATCCCACCTGAGCTGAAGGGAATGCTGAGCTTGATAGAGGTAAACTTCTCAAATAATCAGTTTGGAGGCCCTGTACCAACATTTGTACCATTCCAGAAGAGTCCTAGTTCAAGTTTTTTGGGCAATAAAGGGCTTTGTGGAGAGCCATTGAACTCTTCATGCAGAGACCTGTATGATGATCACAAGAGTTACCATCACAGGGTTTCTTACAGAATCATACTGGCTGTAATTGGTTCTGGTTTGGCAGTTTTTATGTCAGTAACTATAGTTGTCTTGCTGTTTATGATCAGAGAGAGGCAAGAAAAAGTAGCAAAAGATGCTGGTATTGTTGATGATGGAACCAATGAAAACCCAACCATAATAGCAGGTAGTGTTTTTGTTGATAATCTAAAACAAGCAGTGGACCTTGATGCCGTTGTTAAAGCAACACTGAAAGACACTAATAAGCTCAGCAGTGGAACTTTCAGCACAGTTTACAAGGCAATCATGCCTTCTGGGGTGGTCTTGTCTGTTAGGAGACTGAAGTCCGTAGACAAGACAATAATCCACCATCAGAACAAGATGATTAGAGAACTTGAAAGGCTAGGCAAAGTTTGTCACGATAATCTTGTGCGACCAATTGGCTATGTTATTTATGAAGATGTTGCTCTTCTCTTGCATCATTATTTTCCAAATGGAACATTGGCACAGCTTCTTCATGAATCTACCAGGAAACCTGAATATCAGCCTGATTGGCCTGCCAGATTATCCATTGCCATTGGCGTGGCAGAAGGTTTGGCCTTCCTTCATCATGTGGCAATCATCCATCTTGACATTTCTTCTGGCAATGTTCTCTTGGATGCAAATTTCAAGCCACTGGTGGGGGAGATCGAGATTTCAAAACTTCTGGATCCAACCAAAGGCACCGCTAGTATTAGTGCGGTTGCTGGTTCCTTCGGTTACATACCACCAGGTATAGTATTTTCTGGCATGCAATTTTCCCATATATTATTCCTATTAACTTTTTCTGGTGTTTAGCATGCTTCATGTCACATTTCTCCTGTAATGCAGAATATGCATATACTATGCAAGTCACAGCACCAGGAAATGTTTATAGCTATGGTGTAGTTCTGTTGGAAATCCTTACAACTAGACTACCTGTTGATGAGGATTTTGGTGAAGGTGTAGATTTGGTGAAGTGGGTTCATAGTGCTCCAGTAAGAGGGGAAACTCCGGAGCAGATATTGGATGCTAGGCTTAGCACAGTTTCCTTTGGTTGGAGGAAAGAAATGCTTGCTGCTCTAAAGGTCGCATTGCTGTGCACCGACAATACACCAGCCAAACGACCAAAGATGAAGAACGTTGTTGAAATGCTTCGAGAGATAAAGCAAAACTGAGAACAGGGAGCCAATTGAGTATTCTGTGCTGTGGTCTACACCATTGAAGATTTGATGTATGTGAAACTCTCGTGGATACAGAGGAACTGATGAGTTACAACTTACAACTTTAAATAGTAGACTTGTATCAGGAATTATTTTACATGGTGAAAGTGGTGTGTTAAAGTAAATTCAAGACCATTAGCTTTGATAGATCCTCACCTTTCTAGTTTGTCCAAGGGTAAGTTGTGAAATTGCAGCTTATCTATTTGACTTGGATGCTTTACTAGGTTGGGGGAGGATAAATGCAAGAAGAGGCCTTGAAACAGGATATGCCAGTTCCTATTGCTTATAAGCTAAGTCCAAAGTTTTCATACTGTATTTTACTCGTTTGGGAGATGTATCCATCTATCCACCAGTCTATTCCCATTGAAACTGAAAGTTCTAGTTTACTTTTGTTGAGATCCCAGACTGTACATGTAATTGTGTACATGCATGCTGTACCTTCTACTGGATGTGTTTCTGTTTAGACATGCATCACAACCACTTTCATTGCCCAAAATATTATAAAAATATATCCTAAAATGTGTAACCTACTTGAAAATAACGTTGTTCTTTAATGAATGGTTGAACCTCTATTCCCAAATCTTAGGAAATTAGGATGAAAATAGTCTAAAAGCAAGAGAGAATATTATCTCCAAATCTGAAGGAAGATGAAAAAGGAATTATTGTCACAAATTTACACCTGATCCACAAAGGAAAGGAAAATAAGTTAAAGACTATCTTGTGTGTGGTTGATGATGATACAACTCAAGTGGAGGAAGAAAACTACGTTTTCCTTTTCTCCTTTAGAACTCTGTTGAATATGAATAGGATTTAAAAGAATAAAAAGAGAGTTGAATAAAATTAAGATAGAATAAGAGTAGGATGCATTTTTATTTTATTTTATATCTAATGCATAATAAAATAACAAACCAAACATAAGTTATCTTAATTACGCATTGTTTGGTTTGGGTGAAAATGAAAAGAAAGATTATGAGAGGAAAAAAAAAGTATAAATTGTTATGAATTACAATTATATTTTCTTGTTATCAAAGATACGATTGTTCACTTGTTTATTCACTTGTTTAACTTCGCTGTCAAAAGTGATTTTCACTTCTCTCCAAATGTGTAGACGTTGAAACATGTTTATTCACTTGGCAACTCATTCTGAAAGGTGTACATGCTTGTTGCTCTAGTTTCAACAATTTAATGCTATAAATTGGCAATATTTTAGGATAGCTTCTTTTCCAAATTGCAACAGGTTACTCTCAATAGCCGTACATATGTATGTTTTACCATAAATGCGTATAAAAACATGTAGTTTGATGGGTTTTGAGAGAAACATACCAGAAAAATACTACTATAATTTTTATTAACTTAATTTGGTTTCTTTCAATTCTCTAAAAGTTATTCACGACTTCTTATTATTTCAAATATAATGTTAATAAACCAAATTGAAGAGTATTATCTTGCAGTGGCAATATTTTTAAGTTAAGTGCTTTTCACACCGCCAAAATCGATAAGTTTATTTTGTATCATTTCTAATTATTAACTTTTTTTTTTGTTTGTGTTCCTATTTTTTTAATTTTCTGTTAATTTTTCAAACGAAGTTTTTATAAATTGACTCAATTCTATAAATTATATGTAATAAAATTATTTTAAATAATAATTTTTAATAAAATATTTTGATTTAACTTTATAACTACAAATAGTATGTATTAAAATGATAAATATTTAATAAAATTAAATAATTTTAAAATATAATTTACTTTAAAATAATATTTCTATCATAGTGTCCAAAAAAATTAATTAAATGTCAATAATTAATATATATTAATAACTATAAATTCAAAAGATAAGATTCTTATAAAGAAAATCTAAATTTTAAAAACAGAAAAAAATTAAGATAATTTTTATAAATATAAAATTAAGTATTTACAAAAGAATATAAAAATTTATCTAAAGTAATGAAAAAAATTAAGTAATAATTTTAATCTCTAAAATTTAAAACACACTTAACAAATATGTAGATAAAAAGTAAAACTATTATAGTAAATGTAATTTACATATTATTCTGAATTAAATTTAATCTTAAAATTTACATGTGACAAAGTAAGAAAAAGAGTAGTTTTTCATTTTCTAAACAGTAAATCCTCGTTAATAATATATAGATCGATAAATAAAAATTAAAAAAAATTAAAATATTCTATTTTTTTATTAGACTCAACTGAACTTTAGATGAAATTTTAAAATTTCTTCCTATACAACGAAATATGTAGAAAGTTTTATGTAATTTATTTATTTATTTTTCTCATTTTCATTTTATATTTTACATTTATTACTTATCAATATCTCCTCAACTAAATGGATTTTATATTTTAATGATACTGAGGATGATTGTGTTATTAGAAAAATATTTATTTTTAAATTAAAATTTTTTATCCCTTTCAACTTTTTACATCTTATGTTGCAAAGGTTAGAGTCTCTGAACTTTTCAATTTAGATAGCTCATCTTTACTCCTCTCTTTTTTCAGGTGGTCGTTATCAATTTGAACCATTTTAACTTTGGTGATAACGTGGGTCTTTATATATGAATTTTTTTACCCAATCCTATTCACAATACTTTTTTTTATTATTATTATTTCTTCAGCTTTTGTGAACAAGAAAGATTATTACTTGGTATAACTTTGAGGTAACTCATTATGTTAAATTTTGTTTGTCCAAAAATTAAGTTATACTTATGAAATAAGTATTAAAATTAATTTTTTATCTTTTGATTGTTCTTTTTTTTTTTGTGGTTGATTTTTCTTTTCTATTAAACCTAATAAAATGGGTTATTTATAATGGTGGGTTTTGATGGATAGAGGAGCTCGTTGAGTGATACCTAAACTAAACAAAAGTTTTCTTTTTCACATTTTGAGAGTAAGCCCTTATTTAGATTAATCGGATAAAACTAAAAAAATATATTTAATTCAATTTCAAATTTTAAAACTTAAATCCTACATTTTGTGATGTAATTTCATACTAACCCATCTCACTAGCTTTATTTTCTATGAAATTGAGGGGCTATTTATGAGACCTCTAATCTTCTTTAACCCTTTTAACAAAAGCTTCTTTTTTTTTTTTTTCTTTTTTCCCCTTTCTTCCAATTTATTCTCCATTTTTTATGGTTTTTGTTTGTCCTTTATTTGTAAATTTTTTTAAGAGTATTGCGCTAATTTTCAATTCAAACATTTCATCATCTTCAATATTTTACTTCTTATACCACAATTAATCAAAAGCAAATTCTACAATATTTTGGTAAATGAGAGGGTATTCTATACTCTCTTATTTGAAACAATTGTGACCATTAATTTTTGGATTAGTTATTTATTTTAAAAAATATAAATATCTTTTAATTTTTAAGATATTAAAAGAATCACAACTCAATTAAAAAAAGTATACAATATTCCCTGGTAAGCACCTCAATCAAATGCTCCCCTAGTTTCAATCTTTTCCTCCAAGTTTTTGAGTCAATTTTTTTTATTAAACAATTAAATAAATAACCAATCAAATATATACTTTTAAATAGGTTTGAAATATCTAAAATGATATTCATATTGAAGTATTACTGTTGTCATAAAAAATCAATAAACATAATCAATTAATATTTTTTAATTATTTTTAACTCTCCTAAATTAACTGATGATATATTAAGTCCATATTAATTTTATGTCTTTATTTCATTAAATATGGAACCAATAAAATCAATAAATTAATATCTTAAAATTACAGTACTCCCGTTATTAATAGATATCTAAAAATTAACTGCTAATTAACCATTACACATTTCTAAATTCAAAAACGCACTCAGGTGATGTATATATCATTGCTTGCGATTGCAACGGAAGCTTGATTTAGAATCGCTATCTATAACTAAGCAAAACGCACCACTAATCGAAGGTTATAAAACTCCCGAGGTTAACTCTCAAATTATAAACTATTTGTCATGTTCTCATTAGGTTTTGTTTCATTTTTGTTAAACCACAAAATGAAGCGAGGGCTAAATATGGCGCAATAATGCTTTCTTATCAATTTGGTATGTTCCAATTCATTGCTAGCAGTCATAAGTTTAACAATTTTACTAAATAATATGTTTAGTTACTAACAAAAAATCGAAGTGGCTTTACTAAAGCCGTCAAAGTATGCTCTCCAGCAGCAACTCCGATTACATAATTTCTAAACTGAGTAGAAACGGGCTCAACTCAAACAAAACAGGAAATTTCTTTCAATATAACCATACATATTAAGAACACGAGCTTTCAATGGAGGAAATCATGCTAAGCTGACACCTTCGCACTCACAGTTCTCTCCCCTTGATATGCACATTCACAAATTGGTGCTGAGAATGAGGCATGATGCAAACCAATTGATTGCAATATATCTCGCACACAAACATCAATCAAGTATGCTATAAAATTTGAATTCCAAATTTGTATCAATGAATTCAGGATTACTTCAGAAATTGTTAAAATAGATTCAACACCACTCAGAATTTAACAGCAAGAGTAGAAGATAATCCCAAGTAGGATTCTCTTGCTAAATGACACTATCTAAAGGTAACCAATATAGTAGCAGAGACAATTGCTGCAGAGAAAGAATCACACCATAAACTACTCATAATATTTTTAGCAAACACGTCTGCTAAACATAATTTTAGATTTTTAGCCTTTAGGCATTCATTCCCATCCATTTCAAGGTAAGACTAAATATAGACTTTGAATACAACAATATGCATCAATCAATCAATTATTGTGAAAGTAACATTTTATTTAGACAAGGAAAACATTCACAAGGTAAAACGTCCAAACACTAATTGAACAGCAAGAGTTTCACCTCAAACATGACTACCATTTATGGAGACATCCCATGACCAAGGTGCACCAATTAGCTCAAAATCAATAAACAAAATTTACTCTGGGCGAGACTTCACAATGAAATTTTGGCGACTTATAGGATTCATGACCACTGGTGGACCGGCAGTACGAGGCCATGACTGGAATTTTTTGTCAGTCTCTTCCCACCACCCATTGTTTGAAACAGTGCCAGGGGTAGTTCCTGAAGAAAGAAGATAACAATTACGTACTGCAGGAAAATCTACAAAGCAAATCAATTCCTGCGGAAAATACATCTAACCTCCAAATATCTTTTTGTCTGCAATAACATGATCACAAAGCCAAGCAACTCCAAATGATCCAAGTACAGCAGATATGATATACTTGCCTGACATGATTACAGAGTATGCTGTACACGAACAAAAACATAAATAACAACCAAAATTCAAAAAGATAAAGAAAAGGACTACATGACAGAGACATTCTATCCAAACAAAAAAGGATATGACAAGAAAACTGGAAAAATCAACAATCAGGGTTCATTTCACACTAAACTGCATAGGCACTAAAAGCATGGAATCAAAACAGTCAGTTTGACAAGGCAACTAAATTCCTACAGCCCTACTTATCTGTGAACATAACAATGGAAATCCCTCTTAGACAAAAACTCCACACTGGTTGAACGCTAATGTTGTGTAACTTGTGTTCAGATGGAGAATTCGACATCAATAATAAGTGATGTTTAAAATGTGAATCAAGTATGAGAAGAATTATGAATGATAATTACAAAAAGTTAAGCAAAATAGAGGACTTTTAAAATTCTCTCTAAAGACATGACATTTAAAATTCCTTGTAATTGACATAAAAATTCTCTAACTAAAATTCTAAAGTATCCTAAAAATACTCTTTTTACTATCCAAATATATGTAATATAGGAATTCAGAATTCCTCTATCCAAACACAATTTAAATGTCCTAACAACTGGAGGCACAAGGATACTAGATTCCGCTCACTCATGAACAAATATAAATAAACCCAACGTGCTTCAGGAGATATTGCTTAGGTTTAACATGATTGACTGCAGAAAAGCAGTAACAGATAGTCGATAATTCAAGTCTTCCACAGACAATACAAAATCCCTATACGCCATCCAAAACATTAACATGCCTACAGGTTGGAGGATTATTTCCAATTAGCATTCCCTAATTTCATAATTTTTTTAAATAAAATCCATAAAATGATAGATTAGTATAAACTTAATGTGTTCATCTTTTATTTACATTTATAAATATTATATAATTCTTTAGTTATTATTACTTTTTAATATTTACCTTCTTCTCCCTTCCCATCCAAAACCCAACTCCCAAAATCTCTGTTGACACCACCTAACGGGTATCAGTTATAAAAATCATGAGATTCACAAAATAAAAGCCATTACAAGAATCCAAAATCCTTGTTTCATTGGATCCACAGGGTATAGAAAGAATAGACAAGGTAAGGCATTGCCACAAAGGATATGTATTATGCATAAAACATGTTATAGAAGATTAGATGAATTTTAGGGCAAATTTTGGAAAGGAAATCAAAGTTGCACAAAATCCAATACACAACCACGACACGCACGATTAATAAGTTGAATTAATCAAACAGAAACAAAAAGAAAATAAGAAAAAAAAAATAACGAAACTAAGAAATTATGAGGGACAGTTAAAATGGGAGCCTATTCGAACGGCAACATAATCGGATATTTGAGAGAAAAACATGGGAGAGAGAGGCTAGGGTTTGGGTTAGGGTTCGTACCTGAAGGTTGAGATCTATTGGGCGAAAGTGCGAAATGGAAGAGCCAGAGAGAGGCAACAATACAAAAAAGTGTCAGACAAGAGAGAACCAGAAACGTTTCTACGTACATTCTGCTTTCTTCTATAAACCAATTTGGGCTTCTTTCCCCACTTGGCCCATTATTATGCTTCAGACAACATTTAATGTCCAAACAAATCACTGACCAAAAAATTGCCAAAAACAAAAGTCCCATCTTCCATATATAGGTGCGCAGGAAAAAAGATATTACTTGGTTTTTTAAAATGTTGTTCTACCTTTTTTTTAAGTTTGTGTTACAACTTTTAATGCACATTCTATAAGGGTTACATTTAGATGACTTTGCCTTATTACACAAATTATTTACTAAATAACTTATAATTGTATTATAATTTTTTTATATATCCAATGATCGTATGTATTTGATTTGATCTAACCCAATTAAGTTTATAAATATATAGAAGTTGAGTTTTAATTTTGTTTTATTACATTCATGTCACTCAGTCAAGTGGGTCAATCACATCAATAACATTGAATTATCTTGATGGAGGCAAAAATAAAGGAATTCGCATCTTCTCTCGTTCTAGCAGAATTTGAAGTCCAAATTTATTTTCACTTAAGCAATTCATTTAAACAAAAATGAAGAAAATAATAAAAAAATTATATGCAAACCCCTACTTTTTTTGTGGGCTTCTGAAATCAAATTTGATCCTTCGTGCTACCTTTCCAACGTAAAAAACTTTAACAAATTTTAATTTTATGTTTATCGAATTTTAATTTAACCATTGTAAGTTGAACGGCAACAATCTCTGCTGCAGAGGCTGTTGAAAGGGATTCACGTTCTTTTGGAACACTAATTATTCTTATCATTGAAGCACTACATTGCTACATTACATATTTGTTATGATAAAAGATGACTGGGGAAGCTTTTTTTTTTTAACATTCTGTGGCTCTTTCAAAGTCCATCTGCACTGAGAAATTGTATTTTCTTAGTACTTAACTATTAATTTTAAATTTGTTTTCTAAAACCTTAATTTTGCAAAATTCTATGTAAAAATTTGAGCATGCATGTAAGGTTATATTAGGTTTTCGTTATGTGTATTATTGTACTGCTCTTGTAATCTAGCATCTTTCATTTTGTAAGTGTTTTGCGGTTGAATTAATTTTGTGATTTAGGCGTTTTCTCTAATCGAGTTTGAATTATCCCAATCTATCTAAGTATAAAATACAATACCAGAGTTATGCACGGATGGATATTACTAAATTAAAATAATTTTTTAAAATATAAACCAGAGATATACAGTGCTATTATTTTTTAATTTAATAAATTTTATTAAAGCGGTAGATTTTTAATTAAAAAATTAAATTAAAATTAAGATTGAATTGAAAAATAAATGCCCAATATAGAACAGTCATATGACATAATGTGAAAGAGAACTAATTCTTAAAAACTCTCTTGTTTAAAATGATTTCTAAAATATTCTCATTTAAGAACTAAGACTTATATTTTATATATAGAGGTAGATTTATAAATTAAAAAATTAAAATTGAGGGATAAATTATGAAATAAAATTATTCGAATTAAGACATTCATCTATATTAATGTGTCAATTTTAAATTTTAAAAATTAAATTCCAATAATAATTGACTAAAATTAAAATAACATTAAAGTTTAGTTTATTTAAAAGAATATTAAATTTAATATATTGCTTCATATATCGATTTAAAATTTAAATAAAAACAATGTAATTGAAATTTAACTTGAGTGAGAGTGTTTGAAAGGAATAAAACAAACAAAATATAAAATAAATAACACTGAAGATTTTCATGTCTAACTCGACCTGCAAAGAATTATACGATTGTTTATGTACTTTTATTACTAAAATCTTATAAACTAACACTTTATGGTTAGATTGCAATCACAAAAATGTACTATTTATCAAGATGGCTAATTTGTGCTTTCTGAGGTTGAAAAACGGGAATTTCCTATTTGCATCGATTACAATATCAAACATAGCATTGATATATTCTATTTTGGTAATCTCAATCTATAATTTTTGTTAGAATTCATAATAGAAATTCCTTGAACGTTTTCTTTTTGGGTGGATTACATTATTTTTTTATCAAACTCTGATATCATAAGTCACGGTACTTTAAAAGGCAGATCTACCAATAAAAATACAAGGGGATTATAGTTCAATATCAAAAGCAGAAAACAGAACTTGTCATATATATTTAATTAAAATTCATTTTCGTAAATATTATACTATGTAGAAAAACCTGCAATTTCTATAAACAGAATGCCAATGACAATGAATTATACTCTACAAGCATTGCGAACTTGCATAGCATGTAGCCTTTCCCAGCAGTCACATGCAATGTTAAGTGAAGAAAATAATAAAGACTGGAATATCAAACTTAGAAACACAGCATATCATGATCAAAACAACACCACCAATATTATGATTAGATAGATATTGGCTTTGTGCATCAGTGAAGTTACAGTGCTTAGAAGCCTTCCCCTTAAGATCCACCACGCACTTAATTACGATTTTTCAAAATTTCCTGATAAGGCATTTAATTCAGTACAACTATATGATCAACACCCTGCAGCTTTCAGAAAGTTATCATAGGGACTTGCTGCTGGCAATTTGAAAAGGGGAGGATGATTCTGATATTCAGTTGCACATAGCATTGGAAGAGGGCCAGAAGTTGGTTTGAACAAATCCACAGCAGTACTGTTATCAAAGGGAGGATTACACACCTGCATCTTATATAACTTAATTAGATACTCCATTGAAAATTTGTATATGTAGATAATAATGTTACAAAGTTGATGGGCATAGAAAATGTATTAGTCATAGCTTACACTCTACACATACATACATTTTGATCTAGATAATTTAATAACCTTAATTGGAACAGAAACAAATATGGATACTAAATGTGAATATATCTTTGTGAAATATTTAATGTAAGCATGGAATTTTAAAAAATGGATTTACCGTCAAAAGATCCGGATAGGAAGAGGAATCCACCTTTTTCAATTCATTGTCATGATTTGGTAAAAGTGAGTACACTAAATATTCTTGCTTCTGTTGGGTACTCATCAATTTGGACATCTTCTGCTTTTCCATCAAAAGCACCTCACATTTATCAGCCATATCCTTGTATGGCATGTTAAATGAAGTTGAAACAGAAATCCTCCCAGTTGGATGAGATGTGTCCCAAACCTACACTCAAAGTGCAATGTCAATTTCTGTGTTATTGACATGACAGGAGCTTAAAACACAAGTTAAAGAACACAAAGATGTATGAAGGAAAATGGGCAGGAAATGTGTCACTTACTAATTCTAAAAGTTGATTAGCACTCAAAAGACTAGGGGCCTCCATGGACAATCCATTGTGTTTTATTTGACTTTCAATTGATTCAAAAATAAAGTCGTCATCAATTGAATTTGAAACTACTGAAGCATCCTGTAATATGTGAAAAAGTAATTATATCAGTCATAACTTGCTAGCATAAACAAAATAAACAAGGAAAAATAGACTGTTATTCATTCCAAACAAAATCAGTTCTTCAGAAATACATTTGACACACCCTTCTGGGAATATCCATGGTCAATTGAGATCCAAGTTCACACATATTATCTGGTGCGAATTCTTCTAGTAGTTGTCCCTTTATTGATGATAGTTCAGCCTGCATAAAAGACCAACGGTTCATAATGTCTAGAAATGCAAATATATTTTATCTTCTGACAACCCAAAACAGAGTGAAGAAGTCAAAGCATTACTTTTGCCAGAAGTTCCAAGCTCCTAATAATTTCAGAAGCAAAGAGTTCCCGTGTTTGGTGTATGTTACTCAATAACTCTGAAAGTGTGTCTAAGGCCCTGTCATCATCTTCTTTGGATCCATAGCTGATGGTTAGATTGTCTGGTGCAAAGCTGACAACCTGCAACTTGTGATCTTCAATCAACTGAAGGAAGGGATCAACCTGAGTCCAGAATATGAAAACATTAAGGGGGTATATGATGCCTTACTTTCAAGAACTCCATGAAAAACAAAATGAAAGAGAAGTAAAGGATCGTGGAAGAAACTAGAAAAAAATTCAAGTCATTAAAATATTGTGCCCATAAGTAACTGAATATGGTTTACACACATCGATAATGGCACATGATGAGGCATAAGATGCAGGAAACCTTCATATGTGTCTCACCTTTCTCTCTGTAAGCACCGCCTTGGCACTATTGACTAGAGTGTCAATACTGTATGATTTTGAAGAAAACACAATCATTGAAGTTGCCAAAGTAAAGAGTGATCTCCGACGAGATGGTGGCAATGGCCCTACAACAGAAAATAGGAAATAAGAGCTTAAAGGACTGACATTCCAATGACCAAGTAATTTTGTTCTTTCCTGGCCTCATTTTTACACCCACTTCCACTCCCAATGGAAATGTATTTGTTTTATAATAAAATGTCGATAAAGATTCAAGAGTATTTTTCATATGCTATTTTATTTTACAATGAAAAGAGTAGTTTGGGGAATAACTTGTCTGATTCATTGAAAATACTGGTTTCTTATCAATCACAATTCACCATTTCACTTTCAACTGAATGTCCATCCAATTCACATCCTTTTGGCTTCAAGTTTTTTGATACAATAAAAAAGAAAGAAAACAACACATCTCGTTGTCCCTGTTTCTTGAGAAATTTATCAAGAAATAGTTCAATGGAGAAGGACATGCTCAATTTGAACTTCCTAAAAAGTACCACGTAACCTACAATGAAACCTACAAATTCCAAGCCTTTCAACAGTGTATAAACTATTGACCAATGTCCCTCACATGCACAGTACAGTTAACACAATATGCAGGAGGAGCTTATAAGGTCTTCTGAACGGCAAATGATCAATTAATACAGGGAGATTGTGTGCTATAGTCCAAATAATCTGAGGAAGAGGAAACAAGAATGATAGGGTTTTCCAATACCAACATAGGATATGTTGGGTAAGTCATGCCTACTATTAAAAGGCCATGGAAAAATCCAATCACGTCTCATTCAGTGTTAGATTCCATTCTCTGCTAAGGACAATCAAATTTAAGTTAACTGTGACTGATACCTCACCTTCTTTAAGAGACATATTCCATAAAGAGAACGCAAGCTGAAAACTCCGAATTAGTACCTCATGAAAAGAATTCTGCAAAGGCAAAGTAATTTTGGAAAATTATTTTAAAGGAAAAAAATCCCCTTCATTTAAGGGGGGAAGGGGGGAGATAGTAGACAGCCATAAACATTTTCTCTATTTTAGCATTATGATCTCAAAAAAATGCAAACTGACATACTTGATCTGAGTTCAGACCATGTATGTCAACATTCCATGATACATTTAGGTATAATATGAAAGTTCATCACAGCATTCCAGTTGCTAAGGAAATATAAATATTTGTAGCAGCAGAATTGAGTTTAGTAGACAGTTTTGAGGCAATAGATGAATAGAGTAGTATTACAATTATAAAAATCATTATAAAGTTCCTGCAACATACCTTAACGTCATCAATAACCAATACACAAAACATGCTGTAATACTAGCGCAGCACCAAAAACAACAGCCAATATCATAGATTCATAGTTACAGTTAACCTTTTATTTTATCAGCCAAAGAAGAGTTATGATTAACGTAATTTCATTGATTCACAATTGGCTATTGACTTGTCCATGTTTTCCCTTTTTCTTATTTTTGCCCCTTTTTTCATGCTATGAGAAATTTGAAACATTGGAATACTCAAAGATCAAGCAAAAATAATAATGTAACAGTCTTGAAGGTACCCCTTCAATAGATATTATCATGAAAAAGAGAGAGAAAAAAGCAAAATAGCATCATATAAAGAGAAGGGAGCTTTCAACAAGTACAATCATTTTGAGATCATATAAGAAGAAAGAGTACAATCATGAATCATGAATCCAGTTATTACCTTAGCTCTAGAAACAAGCAACACCAAAGTGTATGTATGAGCAATTGCTTCATAATTTGCAGGCATATTTCCAGGAGATATAGACTGTGCCCAAATTGACGATAGTAATCTATATATCTGATGCTTACTTAGCTTGAGGGAAGCAGCCTCCTGTGTACAAGTGAAAAGCTGATCAGCAATGTTAACCATGATAACATCAAACTCAATCCAACAGAAAATTTGTGTTTCCGGTAAGTTGAATGCAGAAACAACTGTAGAACCATATAAAATCCTTAGTGATACTCATCAATGTGAGACTCACCATGTTCTGATTATCATTGTTTGCAGTAATTTCATCCACTTCCATCAGCAAAGATGGGTTGTTCAAACTAGACACCCGACTATAGGTTGACTTTAATTTGTTTTGAATCCCATCATTGCTATTAGCTGGTTCAATCTCTCCAGCAATATTTTCTTGGTTACATTGACTAAATTTTTCACTTGAAGAACGTTTCTCCAGTCTTAGCTTCTCAAATAAGGAAGCTGAAGAGGAAAAAACAGAGACTGCTCTTGAGAGTGATCGTGGAACGTTTGATGCCTTGCGGTTAGATGCAGACATGCTTAGACAAGGGAAAATAGAAGTTGGCACAGCAATGACAGAAAAGATGCGGTGAGCTACCACTCGCGTTTCATGATCTGGATGGGCCATAGCCAGAAGTAGTTGATGAAACAATGCCTCAGGGAATGCCTGAAGAGGAAACTAGGGGTTTAGTGACAAAGTTATCCATGAAACTCAAAGTAGCAAACCAAAGAGTAAGGAACTAAACCAAGAATATTCACTCCTTGCCTTGTTTTGATAATACAAATTTGGTAAGGAGGCTACAATTTGAGCAGTCCGATAGACAGCTTGGACTGTTGTGCTGGATGTCATGGTAGTAGTTGAGATATTCTCTAACATCACAGCCATAACATCAAGAATTGGGTCTGCTTCACCAACCTGTTCATGAATAGCAACTTAGATTCTCTTCCTTTACATCTATTAATCAACGGCAGCTTTATATACTATACTTTATAGTATGGACTATGGAAAACAGCAAAAACACCTCAAATTAATAATTCACAGCATTTATGGTTCACTTATTCGGAAAGTTTAGGTATGAACTTGATTGAAAGCAGTAGGAAAAGTGGGGCACCTTAATTGATAACTGTACAAGGCACTTATCCACAACTTTTCTGAAATTTTTGTTCCAACTAATTACATCAGTGGCCATATCTGGGTTATCTATGGAACAGTGTATACTTTTGCGCAAGTGTCTCATCATGTCACTTATTGCACTAACTATTGATACAGAAGGTTGGACCTTTGCATATTGCGCAAGTGAAGTGGTCACCTCAACAATGTCAAGCTGCATGTTGGGTTCTTTAAGGACAAGTTTATGATCCAGATGCTTAATTAACATTGACAGCAAAACATGTGTGTTTTTCTCTGCAACAATTGGATGGAGGTAAAAATGAAAGAGAACACAGAAGAGCAGGAGTGTTAACAAAAGTTTATAATACAAGAGAACTTTATAATAAAAAATGAAATAAATAAAGTTACCAGAATCATCCATCAAAAATAGCATATCCTTTAAAACAGCAAAGGCAAGACCATGGTTTATAGACCATAAATTTCCATTATCAAAGTATCTGAATAAAGATTCCATTACACGGCGTATGGTACTCCCCTCCTTGGCTAAGTTGGCCATATTATGTAGGCAAACCCCGGACCAAAAAGAGGGTTTCTGGTCATCCTCCCTGCATGAATTTATGAAACATTGTCATAAAGGTGATGAAATACATAGAAGATAGACCAAATCCATTTCAAAGATTTTCTGCTGATAGAAATAATTACATTGCTACAATCACTTCGCCTTTGTCATTAACAATTTTCCTCCAGGATGGGTTTCTCCTTTTGACATCCAGCAAAGGAGAGATTTGACCCTCAGTGGCTGCATTATCTTGGACCCACCCACTCTCAGAACCTTGTTCATAATGATCAAGGCTTTCTGAATTATTTTTAGGAACTTCATAGCTTTCCAAGACAGCAGAAACAATCTATAATGAAACGGAGAGAAACTTTCACCATAGATCAAACAACATATTTAATATTTTTTTATTAACACTGATATAAAATTCATAAGGTAAATTATATCTTAACTCCCTGTTGTTTGATTCAAAAACACTTTAACCCCTATGCTACAATTGAATTTGATACTATATATTTCCTTGTACTTTGTTGTATTATCACATCACTACCTTGCTATATTACTTTTTTTTTAATATTAAATATACATTAATAATAGTAAAATTAATGCTTACTCCCTCATTAGTCAATTTATTGTCATTGGTTAAAATGTTATAAACACACACACACATTATGTTTTAATATTATATATATATATATATATATATATATATATATATTGAGGGTGCATACAAAAAAAAATGTTTTAATATTAATTATACTAAATATGCATAACAGCATTATATTTAAAAAATTATGTTCTATTGCACAATACATACACATTAAAATTGAATTCTAATATTTTTTCTCATAAAAAAATTGTATTAAACTTTAACAAAATAAAAAAAAATTAATCTTGTATAATTAAAAAAATATCACATAATACAAATGTATGATACTATTACAAACATTTAATATATCAATTTATTTTATAACAATCTATTATTTCACTTCAGTTTTTGATAGGTCTTATAGTTTTTATTTTTTTAAGTGAATTGCTATTTACTATGACGATTGCTAATCCTTGTTAACCTATAAAGATTTATTTTAAAAATTATAAAAAATAACTTTGTTAAATTTATAATGACTTATTGAATAAATTTTTAAATTATCATTTTTTAATAAATCTTGGTGATTTAATAAAGGTTAATAGTCATCTTTAGTAAATAACTAAGAACTTATTTTAAAAACTTAAAACTACATGAATTTCATAAAAAAAATAACACTTATGTAAAAAAAAAAACAGAAGATTAAAAATTTATTTGAATAAAAATATTCTTAAAATATATGAAAAAATATATAATATCATGAAGTGCTTGTATAATATTATTTTAATTACACGTGATCACATTTTTTATTTTGCTAACTTATTTCACAATTTATACAATTTTTAAAGAAAAATAAATAATAAAAATCAATTTTAATATGCATGTGTTCTTTAAAAATTGTAATGTTAATTGGACAAAGGTTTACTCTTTAGAAGGACATTGCAAAATATTTTATCAATTTAAGCCTATAAATTTTATGGAGTGCAAGCAAATGTAATGACATTTTAACAAAAATGGCCACACAGATGAGACTGGTGCATATTAGACAAAGCATTGAATGGCATTTTTTTATTAAACTATCTTCACATTTCCAAAAGTAAAAAGTAAAGGTTATTTTTAATTCCAAAAAAAAAGTACGGTTGTTAAAATATGCTCATGTATCAACCCCCTCTGAGGACTATGCTCATAATCTTTATTATTATTTCTTTAACATATCCATTAAAATGAATATCATTTTCAATTCCCAAGCAAGGCTACAATTCTTCAAAGAGTGTTTTGTATTAAATCTCTTTGAGCTCTACCCTTATGTCGTCCAATACCATTTCACTCTTTAGCAGACTACACAGAAAAGTATGTTCAAGAGTTGATGCAAACACTTAAAATATAAGTTCTCTCTAAAATGAAAAAGGCACAAAAGCCATCATCAAGACATGAAAAAACTATGTCAGTATTCATAGAATTGAAGCAAAAGAGTCCACTTACATTATCAAATTCAAGTGATATGTGAGAGTGTTCCCCCATAAACCGAACCTACAAAGAAAAATCATCCATTTAATTATGAAAGATTAGCATATACATTATACTGCCCTCGAGAAAAGGAGACAACATCATTAAGAAAGCAGGAAAACAACAGAGTTTGTTGACTGAATTCTCTCCAACGTCTTCACGTGGTGAGTAAAACTCAAAAAGCATGCAATCTCAACACTTGCAGTTGAATAATTTTTAGGGCCTAAAGTAAATTTAAAAATGAAACTTTTTTATTAATAAAATAATTTATTATTATTAGTTGTGAATTACAGCTCATTAAATATTATTTATAATAATAATAAAAATTTAATAATTAAATTAAATATTTAAATTAAAAAATATTTTTAAATTTAATTTTTTAATTTTTTAATTTTTAATAATATATTAAAACAAAAAAAATTTAAGGAGCCTAAAGCCCTTGTCTTACCTGCCTGGCCTTAGGCCGGCCTGAGTCTCAAATCAAGTAAATGATTAAAAAAAAAAAAAACTAAAATTTAACAAATTACCATAAATTTAAGACAAAATATTTGACTTAGGCTTTTTGATTGAAAAAATAAAGCGATGGTGTAAAAGCAAGAACTTCTAATCATAAAAAAAAATGTAAAGAACAACTAAGGTGCTAAAATATATTCGTCTACCTAAACATGTCCATAAATATGCAAATCAACCATAAACATTATTTAAAAATATGGAAAAACTCTGTAGTTGTGCATTAGGCATTAAATTAGAACTAGGGCAACTTCAAGAAAACACCAATTTCTCCATAACTAAACATACGTGATTAACCTATTTCTTCAAAGTCTAGTACTCTCAATTCTTCCCATCAGCATTAAATGTCCCCCACTGCTTTTAGCCTATTAGTACTGATTTCCAATGTTGAGAACAATTACCAGCTGTGTCAAAAACTGTTTTCCTTAAATCACTCTTTTCAGACATTCAAACTGATAAGCAACATGTGCAAGATCAATGCAATCTAAATGTTAAAAACAATGGTGGAATCATAAAATAAATACCATTGATGAAAGGGCTTTCAAACCAGCCGAACGACTTATTCTTGCTCTTTCATCTTCTCCTGTTTCTTGAGAAAATTGACAGAGCTTCGGGATAAGAGCTTCTAAGTTGAATAGGTAACTTCCATCAATCTGCAAAATTTAAAACATGACTGCAAGTATATTTATTTCCAGTCAAAACTTATATGGATGACAAGAAATCCCTGCTGATATTTATATTTTAAATCCAATGAACTAAAAACTTGACAACAGAAACACCAATGAAACCAACCTGATTATTTACAAAATCAAAAAGAATTTGACATCCTAAAGTTCTCATTTCATCCTGCCGTGTTTGATCCAGCAGCGTATGAATAATACTTAGCAAGCTACTTGCAAATAGTGGCCTATCAACAAACATAGAAATAATAAATGCACCACTTATTTTAAATCACTTAATTCGAGGAGGTTAAGCAACAATCAGAAAAAGAACTGTAAAATTAACAGCTATTACAACCCAAAATAGAAGAATTGCTGCAAGCTAGCAAGCATCAACAAGTCAAGTAGGAAGAAATAAATATATAAGCCTCACATAAATCAATTCAAACTACATATAAATGAATTGTAACATAAGAAGGTGATTATGCTTTCCTTGCCTTCTAGTTTTCATAACGTGTAATGATAGACCATGAATTTAAGAACCAAATGTTTTGCAATGAGATTCATCACCAGTTCCTGCAGATGCTCAATGGAAAAATTTAAATATTGTACGCCAGAAAATTTAGAGTAAGTTTGATTTCTCTTTTAAAAAGAATTTTTTATTTTTTTTTCTAAACGTAGTATAAATTTATATATTTAGAAATAAAAACAGAAAATTCTTTTTAAAAGAGAAATCAAACATACTCTTAGAAGAGTATTTCTGTATTGTATCTCAGTGAGGAAAGTATTGCAATCTTGAATCTTCCAAAGTTTCGGTATAATTCCATGTATGAGATCATAAAGAAGCAAAAGCAATATGAGATTTTAGTCTGTCGAAATTCGAAGAATGCTTAGTATGAATGGGTTATGATTATAAACCTGCAGCCTGATATCGTAGTTTCTTTTCTTTTAAATGCATTTCATGATCATTAAAATTATTTCAGAAAATGTCAAGGGGAATAATCCAAAAAATACGCACAACGCATATACTGAGACCATCTACATAATTATTTTGACCCATTCAGTTATCTTAACCCACTTAAACTCTCTGCGTTCACATCACAAAAACACCTTAGTTTATGCTTAACTATCATAAAATCAGCACCTATGTCCTTCGCATTCCCTGTTACTTTCCACAGCAGTATGCACCCTCCCCCTCTTCAAATAAATTTCCCTAGGACATCAAAAATGAAATATTTGAAACAGTCGATCGCAAGAAAGGAGAAAATCAGTTTTTCAATGATGATAGAGAGGGACGTGGATAGGGCAGGAGACAAGTTAAAATGTACCAGTCTTTGGACAAACAACAAATGATGCAGGCATTATTACTTATTAGCACAAAATTTCTCAAAAGACACCCTTAGGAATTCTAAGAACAATCTGATAAGGGATAAATTGCGTATGAACAGTCCACCTGAGGTCTTAATATTTATTAGTTTAAATACTAATTACAATGTCAATTGTAATTTCAGATATCCAATCCTAAATTAGTTCATAAGATTGTTGCTTATTGATTCTACCATATATACATGTTATACTACCATAATGCCTAAGATATTCTAACAAACATCTAAAAGCCACATGTTACAAGCATAAAGATAAGAATGATATGAACTCACATTTGTTCTTTACAAGAAAACAGAAATTTCTTGTAAATGCACATGACAATTTTGGTTGAACGGAAATTCTCATTTCGTAGCTCCCTGTAACACCTTCTCTCAAGGGCATTCACAATCTGATCACCAAGTATATAACTTTAGTGAGGACAGCAACAGCCTTTATGAATTTAGAAATTTGAGCTTTTCTTGATAAATAACCAAAACAATTTTATAATCTTGTCACTGAAAAAAATATACGAAAATCATTATATTAAAAAAATCAAAGCAGGATACATCCGGAAGAAAGGATACAAAAATAACTTTTCTGATTTCCACTGAAGCTCCTTTTTTTTTTTTGGATCTTGCTAACTAGGATCCTTAGGGAATTGGTTAAGGAATCAATAAATAGTAAACTTTTATTGGAAATCATGGACGTGACTACCTTTTTATGTTTTCCAATAAAAAAAATTCTACTCTTTGATCCTTAACTAATATCCTAAAGATATACTGACTAGCATTTTTCTTTTTAAATTGATGATTAAGAGAAAGCTTGGCAAGGATTTGATGTCTGAAATATAATAGAGTCAAATTCATGATTAAAAAGTCAACGTTGCAGAAAGCAGGAATGTTGTGGCTGGTTGAGGTATATGAACAATAGGTCACCCAAATGAAAATGGATTCCAAGAGAGGAGAAAGGATAACAATGTGTTGCAAACTTGTGCACCTTTTGCAGGCTTATGGAGCAATGATTAGAGGAAAATTCTAGAATTTCAGTCTTTAGCTGCAGCTAGTGAATCATCTTTGGGATAGGATAGTTCTATGCCCATTTAATCACTAGTAATTTTTTAATGGAATTTTCCATTTCTGTGTTAGGTATGCACTGAGAATGAAGAGCTCTACGCTGATTTTTTAATTTCCTTTTTTCCACTTGTTCCTTTTTCTGTCCAAAGATTCTTGCTCATTTTGTTTTGAAATTTTCTCCTCTCTCATAAATTATCATATGAAACAAGATATACGATTTCATTTTGTAGAACTTCATATAAGTAAACATATACCAAAATCCAATACACCCTTGATTCATAAAATAGAATAAATCAAAATTTATTTGAGCTTTTGTTAAAAGATTCCATACCTTTGGAATGCGTAAAGGATTTTTTGAAGCATAATCACATAATTTTCCTATTTTCCTATCATTTGCCCCTTCCTCCTGTTAACTCAAAAATAAAATAAAAAGAAAATCAATACAGTAGGCATTTTGCAAGACAAATGAGAAGTGCAAAAAGAGTAAATAGGTCAATGAAAAAGACATACGGGGGCATTTGGAAGAACTTATGGAAACAACTTCTAGCTTTCATAAACTCTTTTTAGTTTATCTCAATAAACTTTTCAATATAGCTTATCAGAAGAAGTTCTTTTCATCTTATTTTAAGAAGTTTTATGGTCAAATTTATAGGTTGCTCACATGTAAAGAGAATTTATTGAATAAGCATTTAATTAACTTGTGTTCCCAAATGCACCCTTAATTTATATGTTGCATCCAGGTAAACGCCACTATCACGCAACCATGGATCTTTGAGTTAGTATATATCATTTGCATTACTTAAACAGAAATGTTCGCTTGGCTTCAACTTCACTGACCTACTTAAATACCACAATTGAACGTTAAACTAACATGAATAACAATTCAGTGCACTAGGTATCTCCTCCTGCATGGCTGCATTCCATTACATAACAAGAGCTGCACAAGCAACTGCTTTGCAATGACAATATGCCACGATTAGAGAGAGGCATGGAACCTAAAGGGGAAAATACTCATCAACGCACCTAAGGAATCAAAAGTAACAAGTTTTTCTTAAAAAGTGTTAACACACTCCCACCATGATTTCCTACGCACTCCCACATGATTTTTAATAAAGTCTTTCTATCACCGATTCCTTAACCAGTGTCCTTAATACATTGGTTGACAAGTCTCAAAAAAACAAAAGAAAAAATGAATAAGCCCAAAAACAGAAACAACAGACCTGGTTACGAGGGAAAATCTCAGCAATGAGCTTCTTATATCTCTTGACAGGTTGTCTGGACCTTGGCCTCATGGAAGGGCAGAAGAAACAAAGAGTGCCACAAGCGGGCAAAACTTGGCGGGAAATAACACCAGAGACCAAACTCATCTTTACAATTCCAAAATCACCAAGAAATTAGGTGAAGGAAAATACAAAATTTTAATAAGGTTGGCTTGAAATTGTGCTCTCTTTCCCTTGTGCACCAATCCTAAAAATCCTATTTTGAACGCGAATAAGGGAAAGAAAAGCTATAATATCAACTGGGCATCTCTCAAATTCAACCACCAGCCTGCAAATAGTTTAATTTGAAGATGATCAAGCTAGGCCTGAAATGGGAAATTTTAGCATCACAATTTATCGTCAAATTGTCATAAAACATTTCTAATCTCAAATTTTAGCATTCTCAATGTTGCAAGAGGATGGTGTGGGGAATCCCTTAAGACACGGAACAATGTTTGTGCTGTGGTGTATCAATATGAGAAAATCATGAAATGAGAGTACCCACCAAAAGAAAAAACATATAAAAAGGTGGCAAGATTTGATGAAGGTGATGTTAAGAATTTATGTGCTTTGTCGCGTGGGGCTGTCGGAGAGAGAAACATTTGCAATGAAGAAAAGGTGGAACCATGGAGGAAAGGGAAAATTGCAACAGGATGTAACGGTTTCTGGGGGACCCATCTCCCTCCTTTTCCTTTTCCTTTTCCTCTTCCTCTTCCTCTATGGTTTGTACTATTTATTTGTTGATTGATTATTATGATTTACAAGGTATATATGCTAATGCTAATGCATCAAGGGCCCCTTACCTTAGAAATAGTGCACTAGCTTTCTATTCAACCTGTCTAATAACGACCAAAAAAACCTGTCTAATCAATTTCTTCAATGCTCTAGTTTTTATGATAAATGTTAATCAGTAATTAAAATAAATTTTTATTAAAAATATAATAACAGTTTCAATATATATTTTTAATGTAATTTATAATAAAATTTAATATTTGTTAATTTTTAAACAAGTACTTTAAAGACATTAATTAGTAGAATTACTAAATTAGATGTGGTATTTTTAAGGCATGTAATTTTATTTTAATTATATATAGATATCATGGATTCATCACTTAAATTAAATTTTTAAATATCATTTTATATTTAAATTTGTTATTTTTCTCAAATCTCAATTGTTATATTTGTTTATATTAAAGTAGAGCACAATCTTCAGATTCACTCAATCTTTCAATTTATTATACCTCAAAGAATCGAACGACACAAGTTTTTTTTTATCTATTTTTAAAATTTTAATTTTGAAATAATTATTCATATATTTATAAATTAATATTTTTCTTTTAATTTATATTTTTAAAATCATATGTGAATTAATTATGCATATATTCTTTGTAAGTTTAAATAGTTCATTATTTTAAATTAATATTATCAAATTTCACCTAAATTTAAAATATGTATGTACTGTATGGGATATTTATTAGTTTTTTTTTAAAAAAAAAACTTCTTAAGTGTTGTGAATAATTTAATGTTTACCAAAAGAAGTTAAAAGAATTGCTTCTACAATTTGACTATTTAGAATAGCGAAGTTTTATTATCTTAAAATTATAAATAAAAAAAAACATATTTTTATGATAGTTTAAAATATTTATAAAGTGTATTTAATAAATTTAATGCATTTCTTTAGGCACACGTTAAATCATGATGAGGCAATTCCTCAATTGAACATGGCATAATCAGCATGCCGCACACACCCCTCAGGAATCCATGCGGTTGTTATATATATAGTACAACCCGTAATTTCTCTGCTACATCACTGCTAGAGAGAATTCAAATCACTATTTTATTTTTAGCCGAAAGCATTTTACAAACAAACCCAATATGTTCGTGCATTATTAAAAGAGTTTATCTTTTGTCAAGAGTAGTAATAGTCAAATTTCTTTATTAATTATTTGGTAACAAAAGATAAAATAATATGTAAAAAAAATTGGGTGACAAATTGACAGTTGATCAACAACAGGAAATCAGTTAATATAGTTATTATTAACCATATTGTAATCCCTAGAGAGATTTTTTTTCTACTCTTATTTTCTTTCACCTTCCATGGGGTCATGTTGGGGTTTTTAGAAGTACAACAAAGCACTGGACATTCTAGAAAATGATCCATAAGCAGTGTGAGTAATTTTAAAATTGTGTATTGTAATCCTAAAGAAATTGAGGCACATCCAACATGGAGGGTCACTCCAAGATTTACGTAACAAAAACCATCATATTTAATCATCTTTTTTACTTATGCAACTGAATTAATATCCACCATTGTTTGAATTAAGCTCGCAAATCAATGGCAAACTGGAGATTCTAGCAGAATATGCAACGATCGGGAAACAGCCTAGTCCTAAGCTGATATGAAAGACAATTCAAGCAGTTGGGTTGATGCTAAGCATGAAGGAAGATGTAAGAAAGAAATGAAGTGTATCCCCTCCAAATGATAATACAATTACACGACTGTTGTGATATATCTAATACCATTTTCAATTTCGTATTCACAATTTTTGTTATAAAATAGGACAAAATGGTGTTTGTGTGTATCCATTTGAAAAAATGCAATTTCCCCAAGTTAGAATTTCATTTTCTTTTAACTCCACAGCTAAGCTCCAGAACTGCCACCGTGATCGCTCTCAACATGCTTCACAAGGGACACCGGGTCTAGAAATCCTCTACTACACTTAGGACATGCATCAATGGTAACCTTTTTTACCCCTAATCGGTTGCCATTCCTTTCATGAACTTTTTGCACATGATCCACCAAAGCAGTGACCGAGGAAAACTTAGCACCACAATGAGGGCATTGTTCCACTTGATCATTTCTATTTCCACTGCCACTGCTCTGTGCACTACCAGGCTTGGCTAATTTCATCACTCAATTTTGACATGCTCGCTTCAGCAGAAGCTCGAATATTAGAAGCCACGCTGAGAAGGCCTGTAGTCCATTTAGATGACGTGGTTGAAGTTAAATTGGGCTTTGACTCTTCTTTTCTAGTCATATTCAAAACACTCATAAATGAAAAGCTTGTTTCCAACTTTCTGGGACCAGAGCATTTGTGATCAGGGCCAAACCGATGCTTCAAACAATGATCTATCATGCAGTCCCTGCACTTGATTGTGTTTGAGAATACCAAGACCTCTCTGCATCCGGGGGCAGGGCATTTTCTCTTCTTTGTGACTTTCTCATAATTGGATGGGTCGCAGTCATTGTTAACATGATTCTCCCAAGTTATGTTTGGATCTTGATCCGGAATCAGGCGAACTCCTTTGGCACAAAGAGGACATATAACAACAGTGACATCTTGTTTGTTGGGTTTTGTGCACTGATGTTTAATATAACTCCGGTGTTCCAAACAATATACCTGCAAGAGATGGAGCACATATGAATTAGTAATAAATTACTCAAAATTAATCCACAATTCCATACCGCTACTACTCAAGAAATCGATGGATAATCACTAAATATTTGAAACGCCGTAAGAGATGTCAAAATGCTTATTGAAAGTAAGAAAAGTGACTCTAAGTACATAAGAGAAATGCTAGCAATATATTTTTTATTATTGGCTAAAATTTGTTCACAATCATAAAAATTATATAAATTTTACTTCTAATTTAATAATTCTAATTCTGGGAAAACAGAGTATATTCCTAATACTTCTTAACCAAACGTAAAAACCATAACTTGTCAAAGCTTTATATCCATGTTCAAGTGGACCCGGACCCTCTCTGTACAAAGGGAGAAAAATAGGGTCCGAGTAGGACCCACATGTCTGGTGAGACCTACATGAATCCTGCATCTTTCTTTCTCTTTGATGTACATGCAGCCTCAGGAGAGGGGTTGGGGCTATTCAAGTGCAGCAATCTGACAAGGTTTTGCAGTAAGTACTCAACTTAATAGAAACTTCAATCCAATGTGTCCTTGCCTAAGAAAACCTATTATATTGATCTACTTTCAAATATAAATCAAGCACTTAAATGCCGTCCTAGCAAGTAGCAACATTAGAACGTTGTTTTAAAGAGTTTTGTTATATTTCTCTATTTATCCTCTTTATACTTTTTTACTGCTTCATAAAGCAACTCTTTAATGAAAAAATGCATTTCAACGAGGTACAAAATAAATATTTAAATTTTGTATTTAATAATTAGAACGATTTGTAAGTAACAAGAGAATGTTTAATGTACACCTACCATAATTTCAATACATTCTAAGGATATTTTAATAAAAATATTGAAACATAGGAGAAGAACGTGCAACAAAGAGAAAAAAACAGTGCATAGTGATGTTGGCCTTCGTAACTTCAAAATTGTTTGACAGCTGATTAGGAAAGCATTAAAAGAAACTATGATGAAACATAAAATAGAAGATAGGGAGCCTCCAAATTATACTTTTTATATTTATTTTATCACAATATAAACTAATTGAATAAAAATTCAACTACTGCATAACTCAATACTTAACCTAAAGATTAAAATCTTCTATTCAGTAATCAATATCACCCGCGAAAGGACACTACCAACTTTTCAGTATATGAGTTCAATATCCATGTTCTCATGTCTTCGTAGGACAATTACCCTTCCCGAAATAAAATGGAAAGACGGTACCTAATTTGGATTTCAACTCAATAACGTTTCTGTTAACGAAGAAAATGTAGAACGGGAAGATTCAAAAGCAATGCACGCGGAATACAACGCAATGGCAGATACAAATTGCTACGCTATATATAACCAAAAAAATTAATGAAAAAAAATGGGAGATAGAATTGAAAAACCTGATTACAGCGATCGCATGTGAAGGGCAAGAAATCAAGCTGCTTGCAATGAGAAACGCAACAATGCTGGCCGAGATCTGGGAATTGGGGAGTCCCCATTGAAATTGAGCGGGACCCACCCAACACAAAGGAGAGGAAACGAATTTCCTCTCTCTGGGAATTGAATTGGATTTGGAAAATGGATGTGAATGTGGAGAGAGAATCTGAATTTCCGCGGATATAGCGAAGAAAAGAAAGGGATGGCTCAACCAACCAGAGATCCAGGAAAGGGAGGGAGTCGGAAATTACTCTTCTAATAAT